TCGCCTGCGTTCCTGTCGCTTCGCCCGCCCAGCCTCCCGCGCGGGTTCTTCCGGAGGTGGCGGCCTCATCCCGCGTTGCGCTACGCGCCAATCAATGCGAGCGCGCATGATGCCCCAGGCCCGGCAGGCGGCGGGGCGGCGGGGGTGCGCAGAGCGCCCATGCTATCTTGTAGTGGATGCCACGGGTCGCGTTCCATGGGGCGACCATGAGCTCGTCCATCGAGTGGGCGCACCTGGGAACGCCCGCCCCCCCCCCGCCCCCCAGGGCAACAACTCAGCTGCCCTCCTGACTTCTTAGTTAGCCCCCCCCATTGCAATGGCAACTATTCTCGCGTCTTGGCTGGGCCAGCCTGTCTTGGGCTGTCTTTGGGCCATGGGGCGGGGCTTTCCCTGGCGTTTCCGGCGATGTTCCTGGCACTGCACGTGTATGTGATGTGTGTGGTGTGCATGTCGAGGTAGTATGTGCATGATGTGCGCGTGTGTTTACACATGTGTCAGTACGCGTATATGCATATGCTTCTGAGTTGTCGCAGGGACTCGCGCGTAACAACATCAGACGAACATATTATGTAAATGCCAACGTATGTATGTGAATACGTATATGTACACAAATATGTATATGCATGGGTGGTGAACATGTATATGATGCATGCACTGCTGCCGCGTGCAAATACTGCATGTACTTCAGTCAGAGATCAAAGATGACTTGATCCTTTCTTCCTGCTCCTGCTCCTCTCTCTTCCTGGCCCCTCCTCCTGCTCCTCCTCCTCATTTAATTGAATATGCGCTTGCCTTGGACAAGCGCATCCCCCTGCCTGTGGACGATGCCCCCCCTGGGGCCCGCCCTTTTTTTTTCTGTGTGTTCACGCATTATAAGCCCCCTGGGGCCGCGAGGGATATAAGCCCGCGCATCGTGCATTTCGCCAGCCCGGTGCCGCTAGGATGGGGAGTGCGAGAAGATGATTCACGCGTCGTCTTGTTTGTCTTTGAACTCGGTACTGTTTCTTGCCCCTAGCCTTCGGGTATAAAAAGCATGGTAGTCGTCTCATCGTCGGGGGGAGGCTCCTCTCGCCCCACCACCCCTTTCCTCCTCACTCCAGTGGGGGGGGCAGCAGCGGCAGCAGCAGCAGCAGGTGGAGGCCGGCCAGACCACCCTCCACTGAGCCCTGCAGGCCCGAGACGCCGTCCCACCTCAAGCCTTCCTGTCCGCCCTGCCTGGCCCATCGCGGGAAGGGCGCCCGCAGCGGTCGCCGCGGCTGCAGCGCATATTAGCCCCGCTGTAGCTGTTCCAATAGAACCTCATAGAAGTGAAACTTACCCCCGGCAGGGGGGGCGGGGCGGGGGCGGGATGATGGGCTCCGTCGTCGTCCGTCCCGCCCCCATCCCATCCCCCTGCCTGGGGAAATTTTCACCTCTGAACCGGCAGAGCTCCGTCTTCTGCATGTGAGCCATGGTGGAGGATGCCCCCCCGCCTGCAGCTACCCCACCAAGCCTCGGGCAGGCTCAGGGGGGCTCGCGCCAGGGGCAGCTTTGTCGGCGCGCGCTGCACTGGAGGTGGTGGACGAGGAGATGGAGGAGGAGGAGGGAGAGGAGGAGGAGGAAGGAGGAGAAGGTTGAAGAGGAGGAGGAGGAAGGGAAGGGAACAGGGAGGAGCAGGGGGAGGAAGGAGAGGGAGGGGGATGGGGGAGGAGGCGGAGGAGAACGGGGAGGAGGAGGACGAGTAGGAGGAGGAGGATGGGGGAGGACGGAGGGAGGAGGGAGAGGAGGAAAAGGGGGAGGAAGGAGAGGAGGAGGAAAAGGGGGGGAGGGAGGAGGAGGTGGAGGAAGAAGTGGAGGAGGTCGAGGATGGGGGGGTAGAAGGAAGAAGAGGAGCACTGTTCGGATCGTGATGCAGAGCAAAAAACAAATAATGAGGAACACGATCCGGTGATCATGATGCTGTGGTGATGATGGCGATGGTGACGAAAAGAAGGCGATGCGGAAAGCAACGGCGGCCTGTCATGGCGGGGGCAACAGCGGTTGCAATAATGCTGATGCCGACGCAGCAAAGGATTATTAATCATTCTGCGGCAGTGGCGATGAGGAAGAAGCAGGGGAGGAGGAGGGGGGAGAGCGACGAGAGGTGGATGATTATTGTGATGATGATGGCGACGATAGCGATGAGTGGGGAGGGTGATGGCGATGGCGATGGCGATGGGTGCGATGACGATGGCGGTGACCAGGAGGAGGGGGAGGAGGAGGTGGGGAGGAGTCGGAGGAGTGGGAGGAGGAGGAGGCTGAGGAGGAGGGTGGTTGTGGGCGGGGAGCCCATGAATGTCGGAGTCTCTGCGAAGGTCGCGGCGGAGGGCGAGGGCTCCATGGATGGGCCGGGGCCCCATGGTCCAGGACGACCTGATGGGTTGCTTGGCATGTGGCGATGCCTGCTGTGGCGAGGGCCCTATGGACGGACGTGCCGTATGCTCGTGGGCTTGCCACCCACATAGCCCCCCCCTGGCGTCGTCACCCCCCCCCTTCGCAAATATTATAGCCCCCAACGAGATACCCCCCCTTTCCGCCGCCGCCGCTGCACCCCTTACGCCCGCTGCTGCTGCTGCTGGTTGCATCTAGTGGCTCAAGCTGCTGGCCCGACGCACGCCAGGCGCTAACATACTGGGCGCTACAACTAGGCGCTAAACGATGTGCTGGGCGGGCTGCTGCCGCTGGAACTGCTGGTGGGGGGCTAATAATGCGAAGCGCATCAGCAACGACGAGGCTACTGCCATCACTTGGCAGTTCGCTGAAAGCCGCTGGGGCTGTGAGGATTCCTGGGTGGATGGCGCTTGGGTGGATTTCTGGGGCTACCACTCCAAGGCTACCGAGGCCGCCTACCAGTCCGGAGCTAAGTGGTTTCAGTTTCAGACTGACTACTACTTCGACCACGACGTCACCGTGGTTTTCGGCACAGGGGGCTACGACGGCGACGAGCATTACCAGTACTCTAGTAATGGGACCTACCGGCGCGTGCGCAGGGTGAAGATCCTCATGCAGTGAGTGAGGAGCGGGGCTACTAGGTACGTAGTAAGTCGCCAGCAGCAGCGCGGGGCTAGGATATGATGAGGAGGCGGGGCTAGATGAGGACGCAGTGCAGCAGCCCAGACAGAGCCCATGACAGACCTGGTTAGATGTCGAGAAGAAAAAAGAAGAGCGGAAGATATGGGAAGGAGGGAGAAGAAGGGGGTGTCGGGATGATGGTGGCGGTGATGATGATGATGACGACGAAGACGACGATGGCGAGGGGGGCGATGGGACTGTGTGAGGGAGAGAGCGAGTGTGGGCACCCATGGGCGAGGTGGAGGAGGAGGAGGGCCTAGGAGGGCGAGGACGACTCTAGGGCGAGGAGGGCCTAGGAGGGCCCATGGGCGAGGTGGAGGAGGGCCTGGAGGAGGGCCTAGGAGGGCAGTACCACCTCTGGCGAGGACGACGCGCGAGGACTTTATTATCAGTTATGAACCTTAATTCCTGGGTGCCAGATGCTGGTGGGCTAGGTGCCAGATAGCGCGGTTAGACAATTCCCCCCCCCCTCGCCGCCCGGTCACAACCGTTATCGCCAGGGGTTGAAAACACGGTCTCTGTGACCATTGCCTCCGAAGGCCCCCTCGCTGAGCCCAATGTTGGCGGCGCGCACAAGGGGGTAGGGAGAGGGGGGCAGGCTTCTTAGAAGGACGCTGCTTCTTGGGAGGCGTCAGCCCTACATCTACAGATGAGGCCCGCGCCTTCTGAGAAGCAGCCGCCTTCTAAGAAGTCTCCCCCCCTCCCCAAACCCCTCTCTGCGAGTGGGCGACATTGCCTCCGAAGGCCTCCTCGCTGTGCCCAACGCTCCCGGCTCTCTGGCCTCACTGCCCTGCTCCAAACAGTCCGAAGGCCTGGCGCCTTCTTCAGCATGGCCTTCTTCCACGTCTTCGAGCGCTGTGCATCGCTGTACTGCACATCCTGTGAACAATCAATCAATCAATAAATTAGTGAACCGTGTGGCACGCATATGCGCAATGGAAAGGAGCTAGCGAAAACGGCTGTACTCTAGAGGAGTGCTCTTCCAGACGCTGGCCGGCATGGAAGCAACCTCTAAAATATGGTTAGTTCTTTGTGCACTTGCATGCACAGTGTGTCTATTCACCTCGCGCTCCCACACCTGTCTGGGGCGGCCGCCCTGGCGGACCGATGGAGGATCTCGAAGCTCCACGCTTCAGGGAAAAGCGACACCACCAGCACCAGGGACCACCAGCGGCAAGAGCCAGGGAGGGGTCCCCTCTGACGACGGAGGGATGATGTGGTATTATTCTGTCTAATCGGCTGCCCAACAATGCGAAACGTCGTGAAACCTCGCTGTTTCACTCGGCCGCGCCCTCGGAATCTCGATCTGCCGACGCATGCGTACTGCAGAACACTCAAAGTTAAGAATACCCAACACATGATATGCCAGATGCGCGCATTCGGTCGTAGACAGGAAACCACGATGATCAATTGAGGGCTGGTCGGCCGCATATTGGAACCTTGCGAGCAAAAACGCTTTGTTGTGCAAATTGTTCCACCAAGGTGCCGACACACATAAGTATACATGTATGTGACAAGATATCATGATTGGACCTCATCCCGTGGACCCGGCAGCAACTCGAAATACCCAGTCATACCCCGCATGCGTCAACATTCGCCCCTCCTCTCACCACCAGCCCAAAGGATCTTCAAAGGGCCCGCACGTGTCCGACGAGCCCAGAAAGGCCACAAAGCTAGGATTGCTCACGACAGCCCAGCTGACCCCCAAGACAGCCCCGACGCACGCTCCACACGACCATGCAACATGTGAACACGATATTTAGCGGCCACGACACGAACCCGCAAGACCCTGATGATGAAGATCGCCCGAGAATCTGAAATCTTTTCTCTCTGGACGCCGTTCATCGCACGCTCTACGAACAGCTCGACCCTCGGACCAGCGCCGAACGACATGAACCCAACTCACACCTAGACATCACGATCATCCTCGTACTTATCCTCTCTGGGCGAGTTCTCCTCCTGATCCTCCTCCTGCTCCTCCTCCTCCTCCTCCTCTTGGCCCTCGTCTTCAACTGGACAGTCCAAATCTGAACCAGCAATAAAACCTGAACGCATCAGGTCCCAATCGAGCTTACTCGAGCTTCCAATCGCTTGAAGCGCTTCGTAGGCGCTACGTCTGCGCTTCATAGGCGCTCCATAGGCGCTTCAGAAGTGCTTCCTAGAAGGCGCCTCCTCGGCTTCGTCAAGGATTCCCGTCGATTCCGGCTTCCTGAGGGCTTCCGGAGGAATCCTCAGGGGTTCCTGGAGGATTCTTGAGAGTTCCTGAAGGATTCCTGGAGGATTCTTGGTGACTCCTAAGAAGGATTCCAAGGAATTCCCTGCGGATTCGTAAATATTCCTCATGGATTCCGGAGGATTCCTGAGGATTCCTGAGGGATCCCTGAAGGATTCCAAGGATTTCTGAGTTGGTTCCTGAGGACTTCTCAAGATTACTCATGATTCCTGAACTGTCAACACACACACATTCCTAATGATTTCCTCCCTCTCATTCCTCCTCCACCTCCTCCTTCTCCTCTTCTCCTCCTACTCTTGATCCCCCTTCTCGTACTCTTTCTCTCCCTCCTCTTCGTCATCCCGCCTCATCTTCATTTGTCCTCCTCCGCCGACTCCTCATTCGACAGGGCCGCGAAGGCATATGCAACTCACTGTTGGGCCTGCTCATGCTGATCCAACACTTCGGTCTGACAGCTGCCAGCTCTCTTTGCCCCACCGAGCGCTCCTACGCTTCCCTCATCAGCGGGGGAGAAGTGAAGAGATAAGTGGGAGGGAGAGGGCTGGAGCACGAGAGAAATTTGCAGGATAATGGTCAGGAGCAGCAACACAGGCGGCAGAACCAGCCTGACGTCTCGGGCGGGCGGACCCTAACGGGAAGGTCGGGCGGGCGGGCCCAGGAGGCCAGGTCGAGCGGGCTGGTCGCTAAAGCGTCAACCTATCATGAAGGAAGACATGTTGAGCAATAGAGCGATTCGCAAATAAATCGTGAGGAACTCCAAAGCGAGACGGTGATGTGTGAGTCTTTGGGGCACGGCGCAGCAACAAACTGTGAGGGAGTACCACGCGAGAGCGCGTCTCCTGGATAAGTTATGAGGAAGTCCGCAGCGATAACGCGAATTTGAAATAAATGGTGAGGACGTATCAAGCGGGAGCCGCTGTTGTTGTAAACGGGCGCAGCACTTTGGTGACCAACAACGGCTCTGGCCTAATACTGCACCACAATGTATTTCAATATCGCGGTCTCGCGCGGGACTTCCTCGCAAATTACGCAGACATCTCGATCTCGCGTGGGACCTCAGCGAAATTTATTCAAGCGCCGCGCCCTCGACGCTTACGAATCGCGCTCTTGCTGTGGCTTTTCTCACGATTTAGTTGGCTATCGCCGTATCGCACTCGAGACCTCCTCGGGGATCATGCAGGATGCACGCTTCAACAACCCGCCTGCTCGACCTGGCTGCCCGAGCCCGCCTTCCCTATCCGGCCGTCAGGGTCTATCCGCCCGATCTGCCCGTGTGGCTCCGCCACTGCCACGTGCTTTCTGATTCTGGCCCCCTTTTCCTGCTGATCTCTCTCTCTCTCGTGCTCCACCCTTCTCCCTCCCCCTTCCGTCCGTCTTCTCTTCCCCCTGGCGACCTGGCCCGCAACCCGCCCGCGACCCACCTGCGACCCACCAACGACCCATCCGCGACCCACCCGTGACCCACCTGCCGCGACCCACCTGCCGCGACCCACCCGCGACCCACCCGCGACCCATTCCGCGACCCACCCCGCGACCCACCCCGCGACCCACCCCGCGCCCGCCCCCTCACTCTCATCCGCAACTGCGGGGTGCTACATAGGTACTTCTTGATATGCTCTTGCCACGCCGCTCTTCTGGGTCCAGGATGTCTCCAACAAGGGGTTCGGTGCTTCCTGGGAGCTCTCGAGACGGTCCTTGGGCGGCCTCGGACGACGTCCAGGATAGGCACTCCTTGCGGCGGCAACTGCGGAAGCAACGCGGCGACACCGCACGTCTGGGAGGGATGGGCCACCAGAGGTCCCTATCTGCGAGGAAGGGTCGACTGGGGGTCGATGCGTTCCCCCTGAGCCATCTCGGGGGGCGCGCAAACATGTATTAGCGATCCATGGATTTGGCGTACAGTCGCAAAATCCATGGATCGTGGGAAGTGCCCTCCCCAAAATGCGGCCGGCGCCGCCTGGGTTCGGCGGCGGAAATCCGTTATTTCTCATGGACACGGGGCCCGTCGCTGATACATGCACACTTGATCCATGTTTGCGATCGCGTGACTGCGAGAAGTGGTCGACTGGGGGTCGATGCGTTCCCCCTGAGGCTATCGCCCCCGAACGTGGCACTGGATGCGCCTTCGTCCCCCGGCGTCCTTGATGCCCCAGTAGAAGGGCGCCACCTGCCCGCCCGCTCGGGGGCGGCCAAGAGGGGGGCGTCCAAGAGGGGGGGCACCAATCATGGCCGGCGGCCTGTGCACGGCCCAGGGGGAGGGGCGGGGACGTAATGAAACAAGAAGAGGCGCCCTGAAATCTGAGGAAATATATCATGGCCCCCGCGTCATCACCCCTCTCTTGGCCGCCCCCGACCCGCGGTCGCGCGCGGCTCACGGAGGGCTCTTGTGCCGGGAAGCGCTGGGTCCCAGTCCCGGCGCCCCTCCTCGCTCACGGTCCAGACGGCGGAGGGAAAACCCCGGAGCAGGGCTTTGCGGGGCCCTTCGAGGAAGAAACAACGGCATAAACAGAACTTTTGGCGCTCCGCGCAAATTCTAGGATCTGCGCTGGACCCCCCTCCCAGGCGCGCGGAGCGCGCCACGGGCGGCGCCGGAGGCGCCGCCAGGGGCGGCCCAGCGCAGGTCCAAGAACTGTGCGCGGGACGCCACAAGTTTGTGCTCGTGCCGTTTTTTCTTCTCCGACCTCCCGACCTCTCTCTTCTCTCTGCTCTTCTCCCCCCCTTCTCTGTTGCACTTCCCCCCCCCTCTCCCGCTCACGGCCTGCACAGCCCTGACCTTTTTCGTTTGGACGCCCGAAAGGGGTACGGAAAGAATGGGCACAACGCCCAACAGCAAATGCTGTCCCCAACCAGCAGCGGCCGCCGTTGGGCAGGCGGCCTCCCGTCCCGAGTGTGCACGGGCCGCGGCGGCGTGGACAGCGAGCCCGGTTCAGAACAAGCAAGAACTGCTGTTGAGCATTGTACGGCAGGTTCGTGTCGTGCCGACCCCGGCGTTGGTTTTTGACACCGCGGGGATCATTCAACCTTGAACGATCGGCCGTTTCCGCAACGTCCAATCGTTCAACATCGATCGATTCTGGGCCGCCGCCGGCGTTCAACCTTGAACGCCGGCGGCGGGGTCGCCGCCGGTCGACACGACGCAAACCTACCGTACCCATTCTTCCACTCTGGGACACCTCGACCATCGAGCCTCCGAGCCACGGCCCTCCATCCTCTCGACCCTCCATCGTCGGCCCTCGACCCTCGATCCTCGACCCTCGAGCCTCTCGCACCTCGACCCTCGAGCCTCGAGCCCCCGATCGTCGAGCCTCGCGCCGTCGTCGTCGTCGTCCTCGTCGTTGTCCTCGTCCTCGTCGTCGTCGTCGCCGTCGTGCCCGTCGTGTCCACTCTTTCCGTGCCCAGTTCGCTCCGTGCAGAAGCCTCGGAGCTCCGCGCGGGCCTCCTGGGCCGGCCGCCCCCCCCGAGGGGCGGGACGGCCCCCCGCTCGAGCGGCGGGGGCCGCGCGAGCGGCGGGGCCGCGGAGGTGTGCGCGGCGGCGCGGAGCCGAGGCGCGGCCGCGGGTCGCGGCCGCGGGCCGCGGCCGGCCACGGGGCCCCGCGGCGCGGGCCCGCGGCGAGCTCGGCGCGGGCGCGGCTCGGAGGACGAGACGCACAGAACGCGCCACGAGCACACGCCGAGCTCGCGAGGAGGCGTGGGGGGTTCCCCCCCCCCCCGTCGGGCCCCCCGACGGGGGGGGTCGAGCTCGCCTCGTCGGCGCGCGGCGACGGGGGCTGGAGCGCCTTCGGCGCGCGGCGGCTGTCCGCGACGGGGGTCGATGTGGGGCCGTTGGCGGGGGCGGCGCCTCCCCCACGCTTATCGACGAACTCGGAGTACCCGTCAGTCGGAAGAAGTAGGTAGAAGCATGAAGTAGGAAGGCATTGAGGAGTAGATGGGTTCCGCCCGCCCCCCAGGGAGGACCGAAAAGGGGAAGCCACTCGATCACTGAAGAAGGAATGCGCCTAAAGTAGATTGGCATCTGGGAGTCCAGAAATACCTACTTTCGACGACAGATGGGTCAACTTTTGGCGCTGCGCGCGGACTTCTTGGATCTGCGCTTCCCCCCCTCCCTGGCGCCGGAGGTGCTGGCGGCGGCGGCGCTGGCGGCGCCGCCAGGGGGGGGGGCCCAGCGCGGATCCAAGAAATCCGCGCGGAGCGCCAAAAGTTTCTGTTTAAGCCGTTTTCCTTCTCCGACTGATTGGGGAGAAGGAGCGTCGGACCCAGGCCAGAAGAGTATTCTTCGAGAACACGAGGCCCTCCGCCAGCCAAGCCACACAGAACATCCAGGGGTGCCCTCACCAGGGTGCACAATAGTATCCAACAGACACGAAGACCACTTAGGGTACCCTGCCGAACCGACCTCGATCTCATACCGCGGTCCGACTGTACGCGTCGGTCGGGAGAAGTGGGCAGCAACATGAAGCGGGAAGGCTTTTGAAAGGAGGTGGGGCTCCCGCCCGCCCCCCGAGGACGAGGGCGGAGGGAATGCCACTCGACTCCTAGAGCAGGAAGGCGCCTGAAGCAGACTGGGGCCTGGGCATCCTCAAGTACCTGCTTTCCACGACCGACGGCCACGCGAGAGGACGCAAGACCCTTCTGAGGGCCACACTGCCACGGGACTGTAGAAGGCACGCGTCGCGAAACACGGGACGCAGGGGCAACCTGGCTTCGGCAGAGCCGACCTGCTGATCGAACTCGACTGTGCGGGACAACTTTTCTTGTGTCCCCTGCGGAATTCTGGACCCAGCTGGCCACCGACGAGATGCGCGCAGAAAGGTATGGCAGCACTGCCCCAACCCGCTCGCCCCCGGGGCTCCAGACTGGCACCGGTCTTGGGGCCACCGCGCGTGCCCCAAACTTCCCACGTCCCGACTTCCTCGCATCGCGGACCCCCGGAGATCTCGATCCCTCCCCCCCCGGGACGGCAAGTCGTCCCGAGGGAGGGCCCCCCAGGGGCCGAAAACTGCGACAGAGGCCTTCCATAATGACCCGCGTTCGCTGCGCGAGGTGGTCTGGGTCTGGGGCCCAAACACCGACCAGCCCTTGGACCCACTTTTTTTGGTTGGCTTCCTTTTCTCCCCCACGCACAACCGCCGCACAACGTGGCTCCACGACGTGAGACTTCGGACCAACGGGCAAGCCGGGATGACCACACGCATCGCCGCCAAGAGCGCCGCACGCCACCGCAGAGGAAAGGGAGCGCAGGAAAGACAGCGGACGGCAAAGCAAAACGAGCAGAGCAGCAGAGGAGAGCGGACGGGGCGAGACCCATCCTGGGGCGCGTCCCGGCCCACAGTTCGGGGCAGGGCCAGCCGCGGCGGCGAGGAGCCTCTCCTGCATGGCCCAAACAGAGTGTCAGAGGCTCCCCCCCCCCAAAAAGGCACGGGGAACCTCAGCGTCGAGCAGGTCGGGGACCTCTCCTCCACTGGACGAACGAGCAGCACGCGCCCGTGCCCACTGAGTCACTGGGCGGGGTCGGAGGGAGCAGCACTGGCTCTGGGTACGAGTGCGGGCTGTTGGCCCTTAGGGGAGGCTCCCGTTCGAGCGGGGACCCCCATCCGACAACACGCACACAGAGCCCCTCCGTCCCCCCTGTGCGTGGGTGTGCGTGGGCGTGTGCGTGTGCGTGTGCGTGTGCGTGTGCGTGTGTGTGTGTGTGTGTGTGTGTGTGTGTGTGTGTGTGTGTGTGTGTGTGCGTGTGTGCGTGTGTGTTTGTGTGTACGTGTGTACGTGTGTACGTGTGTACGTGTGTGTGTGTGTGTGTGTGTGTGTGTGTGTGTGTGTGCGTGTCTGTGTGTGTTTCGAAGAAGGAACACCAACATAAGCATAAACTTTCGACGGTCCGCGCGGACTTCTTGGATCTGCGCTGGACCCCCCTCCCCGGCGCGCGGAGCGCGCCAGGGGCGGCGCCGGAGGCGCCGCCTGAGGGGTCCAGCGCGGATCCAAGATATCCTCGCGCAACGCCAAAAGTTTATGATTATGCCGTTTTTTCTTCGAGGTTGGGTGTTGCTGAAAGTGCCCCTGGCCCAAGGTGCCCCCAGGATTTCCAAGCAGGCCCCGACGGCCTCCAGAGCACCCCTTGCGCGGCCCAGAGGGTCCCAGGGTCTCCCAACATTGAGCGACAAGATGGGAGCACCTTGGGCCAGGGGCACCTTTTGTGTGTGTGTGTGCGCGTGTGTGCGCGTGTGCGTGTGCGTGTGCGCGTGTGCGCGTGTGCGCGTGTGCGCGTGTGCGCGTGTGCGCGTGTGCGCGTGTGCGCGTGTGCGCGTGTGCGCGTGCGTGTGTGTGTGTGTGTGTGTGCGTGGTGCGCGTGCGTGCGTGCGTGCGTGCGTGCGTGCGTGCGTGCGCGCGTGTGCGTGTGTGTGTGTGTGTGTGTGTGTGTGCGTGTGCGCGTGCGTGTGCGTGTGCGCGTGCGTGTGCGCGTGCGTGTGCGTGTGCGTGTGCGTGTGCGTATGCGTGTGCGTGTGCGTGTGCGTGTGTGTTGGTCGTTCGCCATGCCGCTCCGCCTTGGGGGCGTCCGCGTCCTTCGCGCCGCTCTTCCTCTCCGCCCCCAGCCAGTCGCTCCGGAAGCCGACGAACGGCGAGCCGCCACCGCCCGCGTACTGCGCGTTGATCTCCGCCTCCGCGGCAGGGGCCAGGGCAGGGTCCGGGCGAAGCCAGGACGAGGATAAGGCAAGGCGAGGATCATCGGGTGGGCGGGTGGTGACCCCAATGGCGGGGGGGGACCCACATGGGGGGTGACCCATATGGGGATGATCGGATGGGGGGTGACCCAAACGGGGGGTGAAGGAAGGGGTCCCCTAAAGGGGCCCTGTGGGGCCCCGTTTGACGGCTCCAAGCACGTTCTTCGATCTCAATCAACGAGCCGACCGCTGCGCGGGGCGTGCGGCAGCAGCGGCGCCCGCGCGCCCAGGCATGCCCCTGCCCGCCCCCCCTCGGCGGCACGCGAGAGCGGCGGCAGGCGAGAGTGTGACCTCTGGTGCGCAGGCTGCTCGGGGACCGCGGAAGAGGCCAGAGGTTCGGGCAATAGGGGGCCACCTGCGAACCCTGCCCCTAAACCCCCTCACGATTTCTGGGGGGCAGGGTGATGTTCACTTCGTTCGGGAGCTCTCGAGCAAAGTGAACCCCACCCTCCCCCTCAGAGGTCGTGGGGGGTAGGGGTAGGGTTCGCAGGTGGCCCCCTCGGCAACCCGAACGCGCCAGCCAGTGCTGTGGCGGGCCACTCCAGCGGGAGGCCACTCCTGCGCGCAGCCGTCCCCCTGCGAAAGACCCCCCCCCCCGAAGCCGCGCACCAGAGGCCGCGCCGGCGAAGGGTCAGCCCCACGTGCAGCCGAAGAGGGGGAGGGTGAACGGGTGAGGGGAGGGGGAGGGCCCAGGACCCCCCCCGCGCGTCGTGACAACGCGCGTCGTAACGAATGCAGGCGGAAACATGTTTGGCTGCTTTCGACCCCCGCGAGCCCTTGCAACGACCCGGCGCCGTCAGCAGACTGGCTCGGGCTGAGATGCCGTCCCCAGGGGGCGAGGTTGGGACCTCCGTAGGCCCACGTTAGAATAGGACGTCACGTCGGGAGTGTGGGGACAGGAAAGAGGGAGGAGATGGGAAAGAGGAGGGAGATGATGGAGAGGATCGGGAGAGAAGAGGGAGGGGAAAGGAAGAGACGGAGGAGGAGGAGGAACAGAGGGGGGAGGAGAGGGAGGAGGAGGGAGGAGGAAGGAGTGTGAGAGGGAGGAGGGAGGAGGAGGGGCACTAGTGTAAACCCAGCACGTGTCAATGATGTTGCCATAGGTCCTCCCTCCAAGATCCCTCTTCATAGGGCTATACAAGGCCTTGTCAGTATTGCGGGAAATGCCCCATTGAAAAATACCCGTCTGAGAGTGTTCAATCGCATCAGAACAAAATTCCTGGGACATCAACACCGTGAATCAAGGTGACTGTGCGCCCTGACAATTCTAAATCGTGCTAGAACGCCGTCCCTGAGACTGCAACATTACGAATATTTCGAACAGTTGTAAACGTGTGCAACGAATGTGCGAGGCTCAGGCGAGAACCACAATTTGAAAAGAACCGCTCTCCACCGATGAAACTGCCGGAAACTTTTACGACGAATGGTCGCGGCGCCAAGGCGAGAGCGACAGTTTGAAAATCAGCCGCCGTCCATCCTTGAAACAGCTGGAAGCGTTTAAGACGAATATGCGCGGCGCTAAGACGATAGCCACATGTTGAAAGCGACCCTCCCTCAATCCTTAAAGCTGATGCAAGCGTTGATGACGAATGTGCGCGGCGTTATGACGACGAAGGCCACATGTTGAAAACTGCCCGCTCTCCAGCCTTGAAGCCGCTGCAAGCTTTGAAAACGAGTGTGCGCGGTGCTGAGGCGAGAGCCACTGCTTGAACACGACCAGCCCTCCGCCCCAGAAGCAGTTGCAAGTTTCAAGCTTCAGGACAATCCATTGTGAGGAAATCTCAAGCAGAACTACCAACACAACATGTCTGGGGATGTGACAGGTAGGAGATATTGATGATGATGCTGCTGCTGCTGCTGCTGCTGATGATGATGATGATGATGATGGTTAGGAGGAGGAGGAGGAGGAGGAGGAGAAGAAGAGGAGGAGGGGAGGGAGGAGGGGGATGATGAGGGGGATGATGAGGGGGGGGAGAGGGAGGAAAAGGAGGAGGAGGGGATGCGGAGGGGGAAGACGAGTGCGAGGGTGAGGAGCAGGGGGGGGAGGAGGATCGGCAGGAGGGCTTCCAGGGCCACCAGGAGGAGCAACACCAGCAGAGGGGGGGTAGGAGGAGGTGGTGAAAAAAGGACGAACGCGAGGGGCCTCGGGGAGGCGGAGGAGGGGGCAGAAGAAGGGGCGGGCAGGAGGAGCAGGAGATGGGGGGCAGGAGGAGGAGGAGGAGCGAGGGGCCAGGACCAAGATCCCTCCTCCTCCTCCTCCTCCTCCTCCTCCTCCTCATGCTCCCCCCCCTCATCATCATCCCCATCGTCGTCGGTCCCAAGCAAGAGGAATAGACATACCGCCAACGTGTTGAAAAATACAATGCGGAAATGCTTGATCATTGTCTGCCCCTGGGAGCCCTCAGCGGCCCCCTGGATCGTCCACAAACGGCTCAGGATGAAAAGCCGGCCCCGGGAGAAAGCTCGAGACTTCCAGGGATCTCGTGTTGAGAAAGATCAGCGAGTCTGATCCCTGGGGGACGAAGGCCGCCTGACCGAAGAGGCTGTCCTTCCGGAAAAAGTCGCAGTCCCAGGAGGCCATCGGCCAGTCCTCGCCAGCGTCCTCGACGACAAAGACCCGCCCGTCCAAGACGTTCGGCGAGCCAAGGGTGGAGGGGCGGGGGCGAGGAAGGGGGACAAGAGGAGGGGGGGCGCCGAAAGTGTATGTTTATGCAATTGCTCGCCTTCGAAGAAGAAGAGGGGCAATGACCTGGAATCGGCGATACGCGGCCGATAGACCCCGGATAGCACATCCGCACGTTCCTGAGCGGGGTGGGGCTATTAGACCCATCATCGGCGCTGAATGGGCGACTGGGGGTCGATGCGCCCTCCTCCTTACAACTTATGCCTATCCCCCCCCATTGTTGCCCCTTGTCGGGGAGACGCAAAACTCGAGTTCGGACCGGGGGACTCGGGTTGGCCTGACGGGCCCCTCAAGAAAATGACGAGACCCAATCTGAAATCTGACGCGAGCTCCCGCTGCAGGCATCCCAAGAACACTGGACCGTCAAGATACAGGACGGGCTCGTCAAAAACCGTCGGCTAATACGAGTTTTAGGTCGGGCGTGTCCCCCTACAAGCGGATTTCGGACGAAAAATCAAAAGTTGTCAAACCATGCTCAAAACATGCTCAGAGATGGTCAAAAAATCGTCCCCGTACTATGTTTGGGACTATTTTTGAACCTTCCCCCTGTAGAGAGACAGGCCCGACTGAATACGAGTTCCGGAAAACTCGAGTCTTCCTGTTTCGGCGGTGGACAAACCTCCCTTTAGTAGACCTCCCCTTAGAGAAAACGGCCTGGGACCGAAACCGACGGACCTGGACCCGCAAAAATGACGGCCGCGACGCCATCTCGCGAACCGAAAACGGCCGATTCCTTAATCGACGTGTCAGGGTAGGAGGTCTGTCCACCCCCGACTGTTTAGCACGGGGGAAACGGGTCCTGAGGGAAACGGGTCCTGGACCGCAGGGCCCTCCCCCAATGACGAGATCTTCATCCTGCGTCGTCCTCTGGCAGTCCCGCAGTCGAGCCCGCGGAGGTCCCCGAAGGCCCGAAGACCTCAGGACCCGTCTCCCTCAGGACCCGCTCCCCCACATGGGCGAACGCCTCCGCATCCGGGAGATGCCGTGGCTCCGGCAGCGACGTCCACCCAGACATCCGGCCGCTCCGATGCGCGGGCCCCAGAGAGGTCTGGACCACTTCCCCTGGTCTTTCGCCCTGAGTCGCTCTTGACGGTCCTGAGGCCTAGCGAGGGCCTCTGGAGGCCGAAAATGGCCCAAATCCGGCCGCTCCAAACTTTTCAGGGCGTCGGATCTCTGCCCCTCTGGGCGCCGCTCAATGTGGGGGCGACAAATGAGAGGCCTCCTGAATTGGGTCGGAGTAGATGGTGTCGGAGGATCGCGCCGCATCGCCGATACATCGGCGATGCATCGGCGATGTACTGGCGATGCATCGGCGACGTCGGCGACGCATCAGCGACGTCGGCGTGGACAAAAATCGGGCTCCACGTCGAGCCGCGTCGCCCATGCATCGGCGATGCGCCATCTACTCGGACCCCATCCGGGAGGCCCGGATAAATGAGGCTGGAGGAAGAAAGGTGCACTTCTCTGGCCCTAAAGGCAGGCTCGCTGTTGGGGCCCTCGGGCCCTGAAGGCTCCCTTTTGGGCCCTAAGCGGCCCCTTTGGGGAGACCTAACGGGCGCCGTTTCTGCAGCCCTCGCTGCCCGCCATGGATCGCCCCCCACTGCACGTCGGTCGGAAGAAGTAGGCCAACACATGAAGTAGGAAGGCGGGTCAAGTAGATTGGGCTCAGGCCCTCCCAGAGAAGAACTGAACACATCAAACGCACATCGACTCTGGCAGTGGGAAGGCGCTCGAAGCAGGATCAGGATCTGAGTCATACCCAACGAACAAACTAATTCCAACGACCGGCGTGCACGCGATGCCCCAAACCTGGGAGATGCCGTGGCTCTGGCCATGACGCCCACGCACCCCGAGCCCTCGGCTTAGGTCGGGCATGCCCCCCTACAGGCGCATGTTGGACGAAAAAATGGGGAAGAGGCACACAAATATTCAGACATAGCCCGAGTAGAAATCGAAACATCGCCCCGATGCTATTTGTTGACTGTTGTTGAGTATTCCTCATGTGCAATCAAGACGCTGACCTGAGGACCGCTCTAGGTCCGGAAGGGGCTCGCAGTTTACTGGGCCCTTCCATGGCTGTTCCTCCAGCCCTCCTCGTGCACCCAGGCTGTTTTGGTGCCGAAAGGGGGCTTCGTCCCTTCTGTAGAGTTTCTTCTTCCAGAAGCCCGACTGTATCGGGAGCGGCCAAGAGGGGGGCGTCCACGAGGGGGGGGGGGGGGGGGGGGCAAATCATGACCGGCGGCATGTGCGCGGCCCAGCGGGGGGACCAGGGACGTAATGAAATAAGAAGAGGCGCCATGAAATCTGGGGAAATATCATGGCCCCCGCCATGATATCTCCCCCCCCCCTAGTCACCACCCCCCTCTTGTCCGCCCCCGACTGTAGGGAGGCACACGCCCGACTCAGCCCTCGGCCCGCCCTCAGCCCCCTCCTCGGGCCACGCGCCGCGCGCCCCGCCCTCGGGCTCCCGCGCCGCTCCCGGGCGGGCGCTGGCAGAACTGGGCTTCGTGGCACCTGGCTTCTCGCCATCGCTCGGACGTGCTTCGTGGCACCTGGTTTCTCGCCATCGCTCGGACGTCCATTCCCTGTGTTTTTTTTCGGTTTCGTGTGGTTTTTTCGCCAGGTGTTTTCGCCAAATGATCAAGGATGCTCCTCGATGGTCCTCGCCGAAGGAAAAATGCACACGTCCGAGCGATGCCAAGGTTTAGTGCTGTGTATTGGGGGAGCCCCCCCCCCCGCCCCGTTCCACTGACCGGAACTGCCGTCACCCGAAAAACACCAGCTGCGGCAGACCTGGCTTAGCGATTCTGGCCAATTCAAGGGCCCCGGGGCCCTGCCGCTGACCGGGTCCCCCTACCTTCAGGGGGGCGTAAGACCCGGGTACGGGGGACTCGGAAATCCCCGACGAGGTCGTCAAAAAAATGACGAGGCCGAGCCTGCATTTTGACGAGGCCTCCCGCTGCAGACATCCCACGAAACTCCTCCTCGTCAAAATCCGAGGCGCGGTCGTCAAAAAACGATGGCGAACCCGAGTCCTGGCAAACCCGGGTCTTACGCTCCCCCGATACCTGGGGTCCTGGCTATACCCGACTCGGGGCCCGCAGGCCGGCGCACCCGCAGACCGGCACCCCGAGGCGCTGCCGGAGCGGCTCCGACGGGATCGCAGGGAGCCCTCGCGCCGCCAGGCGGGCCCGCCAAGGGCCACGGCGAGGGGCATCGACGAGGCTGGAGGCACGAGGAGGCCCGAGGAGGCCCGAGGAGCCCCCAGGAGGCCCGAGGAGGCCCGAGGAGGCTCGAGGAGGCTCGAGGAGGCTCGAGGCTCGAGGAGGCCACAGCGAGGATCGAGGAGGATCGAGGCCACAGCGAGGAGGCTCGAGGAGAAGCGAGGCTTGCAGCGGCGCTGGAGCGAGCCCTCGGGCGGCAACGAGGTCCTCCCTGTGGCATCTGCCAGGGGTGTGCATCGGCGGCGAGCGAGGAGGGGAAGTGAGAAGGAGAAGGCCTTCTCAAAGGCGGCGGGGCTCCTCAGAAGCCCTCTGGCCTTCTGAGAAGTTTTCGGTGTCTTCGGGGAAGGCTTAGAAAACCTCTCAGAAGGCCAGGGGACTTCCGAGCCTTCTGAGAAAGCCCCCCTTTTCGCTTACCCCCCCCGGGCTCAACGCCGAGCGTGACTGAAGCTGGTGCCCGATGTCTCCGAGCGCGCCAGTGTGGCGGCCGCGATTCTGGACTCGAGACCGAAGCGAGATTCAAGTTCGGCCACGACTCCGGTCGCACTGCGCTTTCGGTCCCAGTGCCGGGCACATGTTCGGCCACCGAGTCCTCCTGCGGGCACGCACCTTGTGTCGGCGGTAGGGGCAGGGCGACACGAGAGGCCTGCGCTGTCGCCGGCCCCCCCGCGTGCCTCGCCGACTCCTCCGCCGACCCCCCCTCTCCCCCTCCGACGGAGGAAGGGGCAGCGGCATACGCGCGCACCTCCGACGGTCCGCGCGCCCTTCTCGGAGCTGCGCTGGCACAGCGCCGGAGGCGCCGCCAAGGGGGACCAGCGCAGATCCGAGAGATCCGCGCGGGCCCGAGACGGTCTACAGGAGGGGCCTGGCCACAAGAGGCCTTCCACAAAAGAAACCCAACCCTGAGACGACAGGACTCCCATCGGTTCTGGTGTGGGACCGGCACGCCCTCCACAGCAAAAAGCGATCGACGCCCAAGAAACCCAGGGCACCCTGGAGACAAGCAGGGCGTTTCTTGGCGTGGGCCTCCACTGTAAGTTTGTGTCGTGTTTCCTCCATCGAGGCTCACATCGTGGCTCTCCCCCTCTCCACCACTCTTTGGCTCGCCGGGGGGGCTATGCTGGTCGAACATCTCCCGCGTGGTGCTGGCGGACCGCAGCCGCACTTCCTGGAGGGCGGCGGGGGAGGGATGGGGGCGAGGGAGAGAGGAGAGGACGACGGAGAGGACGAGGACGGGGCGGGCAGGATGGGGAGGAGGAAGGATGTAGGGGGGGAGGGGGGGAGGGAGGGAGGGAGGAAGGGGAGAGGAGAGGACGAGGGGGAAGATGCGGGCAGGATGGGGAGGAGGAAGGAGGAGAAGGGAGGGAGGGGAGGGAGGGAGGGAGGGACGACGGAGAGGACGAGGAGGACGGGGCGGGCAGGATGGCGAGGAGGAAGGAGCGGGGGGGGGGGGAAGAAGGAAGGTCCACGGAGCACCGCGAGCGCGCGCGAGCATGCCGAAGCGGAGCCGTGCCAGGCCCGCGAGGCCGCATCGGGGGAGGGCCGGGGGAGGAAGCCGGCAGGCCCGGCCCGAGCTGGGCCGCGTGTCGGCGCTGCGCTGCGCGGAGTGCGAGGCTCCCCGCGCGCCGCCAGCCCCAGAGCGAGCGGCGGGGACTCGCCCCGAACCACGGAGGGGGG